TGTACACATTTTAGAGGGTATTTGAAAAATATTTAACTATGCAGCTTTGCAGATATTATATTCTATTTGAATATAGAGGAAATTGTACTTAAGAGTTTACTTGAAAAGTTAATCCTCACCAAAAGTTAATTAGTAGCTATTTCATGTTCCAGAAAGATAAAATATCAGGTCCTATGAAGATGTCTGATTTTTATATATAGCATTCCAGAAATCAATGGGATACTTAAAAGATTAAACAGGAACATCCTTTACTTATGGAAAACAGGATAAAATAAATCTAAAATCAAGTGTCATACATTGTTTTGAATTAGAATGGAATGGCCTATCCAATCATGTCTAATCATGAATACAGACTTTTCTAGAGTACATCTTCTTTCCCACTTATTTCCAACAGACAAGTCTTCCCAAACAAAGTCAACTCCGGGAATTCTCTTGTACATGAAAAGCAAGTTTGGGCCAGAAGAGGTATTATTCAAATCAGCCAGAAGATTAAGCTGGCTCCAATTACAACAAGCTACTATTTTTAATATTGAGCCAAAAAAATTCCTTGGTTCACTAGTATAGGGCTTGTTTTACACAGATGTGGTTAAAAAGACAATGGCTAGGTAGCAGGGAACCATGAACAAAACTCATTAATGCCATGCAAATCTCTCACTCCACTGCACAAAAGTTCATCATTGAGTAACTTTATTAACAGATATTTGTATCTGTTTCTTTAAACTTATGAGGGACTACCCCATGCAGTATGGGCGGTGGTGGAGAAGGGGTGAAAAGAGAAGGAACAGGAAAAGATACAGCTATTAAGAGTAGGGGGCAGGGGGTTCTGCATACCCCAATCTGCCCCAGACAGAGTGGCAGCACGGGACCAGCATGTCCTTCAGAACTGCTGGAGCCTCATCACAGCCGACAGTAGGCAAGGCTCGGAAGGGCTGTATAGGGCCTGGTGAGCAAGCACCCCAGCCCGTCAGTCAGTTTGTCCTATTGTGGTTGCTACGACGCTGCAAGCTATCCGTCAATATTTCAAATATCAGCAGTGTCACCCATGGGGGAGAGGTTTCAGCAGAGCTTCCAGACTGAGACAAACTGGGAAGAAAAGGCTGGCTATCTTTTTCCAAAAGTTAGCCAATGATACCACACAGAACACAACAGAATATTGTCCATAAATGCTCAAATATAAACACCCTAGACTGGGAAGCACTCAAAATACACAGCTTCAACCCACCTCTTTTCTTCACCTTTCCAGATGGATGACCCCTCCAATTAGTAAGGAGAAGATAACCATTTGCTCTGGTTTTAGATCCTGAGAAAAAACAAACGTAGGTAGAATTCCCTAAGCATTTACCGATAGGATAAACATAGTCATTTTTATAGTTCCTTTCACAAAATCTTATGTGTTAAAATGGTGGCATAGATGAGAATTTTATCAAAATAAGATCAAATGACAGAAAGCAAGGATGTTCCACAAAACCTGCAAAGGAGTGAATGAATCCTTTTCATTTTAGCCTCTATGCTACAAACAACCAAGTTTAGCTCTTAGATTAGGTTTTAGGGGCATCTTTCCATGAATATCTATCATAAGTATCAACTATAATCTAAATTCTCTCATTAAGACCATGTTGATTCCATCTTCTTTTAGGTCTTCTAAAGGAGTTCTGGTGGGGCAATGGTCAAGAGATTGGCTGCTAACAGAGTGGGTGAAAGATGTGGCAGTCTGCTGCCACAAAGATTACAGCCTTGGAAACTTCATAGGGCAGCTCCTCTACTCTGTCCTATAGCGTTGGCTATGAGTTGGAAACACCTTGACAGCAATGGTTGTGGGGTTGGTTGATATCCTAACCCTGTTGCCCTGAAAAAAAAAGAAGAAGAAGAAGAAGAAGAATCTGTTATTTATGATCACTACTATTGCAAGTATCTTAATAATCCCACTGAAAATACAAATGTGATCAGGAGGACAAAGAATGATAAGGGAAGACATCCCAGTTCCAGGCTTTCAGCTACTGCTTAAGCCCAGTCTTATGCTGTGAGACAGGGTTTGTTCTTTGGATGAAGCATCTTAAATTCTGGGCTTATAATTTTGAGGGAAATAAATTTTTATAAACTTTTACTTGTCTGTAAAACATGTCTTCTTTTTCATTTCCTGGTAATTGATTAGGAGGTTCAATGGCACGGTAGTTAAGAGGCCGGCTACGACCACAAGGTCAGGGATTCTGAAGATTTGAACCCACCAGCTGCTGTGGGGTAGAAAGAATCAGCAGTGTGCTTCGATAAAGATTTGCAGCCTTCTGTTATGCTGAGTGAAATTAATCAATCACAAAAGGATAAATATTGTATGAGACGACTACTGTAAACAGTCAAGGAGAGGATTTCACAAAAATATAAATAAATAAATATTCTTTGATGGTGACCAGGGGTGGATGGGGAAGGGAGGGTAAACCACTAACTAGAGAGTGGACACATATTAACCTGAGTGAAGGAAAAATAAATAAATAAAATATAGCATCAAGATTTTTTTTTTTTTTAAATTGCAGGCTTAGAAAATGCATGGGGCAGTCCTACTCTGTCCTATAGGGTGGAGTCACGGCAGTGGGGTGTTTTTTTTTGGGGGGGGGCATTGGTAAATGATATAACAGGATTCCCTTAAGATTAATGCCATCTGTCTCTTTTTATAAACAGTCGTTGGACAACAATTCTCACAGTCCCAATCCCAAAGAGACATCCTCTGGTTGGGTGAATGGAGAGGCAAAGAGGTATGGGAAAAAGCAAGAGGCAGAATTTCTGAGTCATCGCTTTGGAAGGAATTGAACAAATAAAACTGAGAAAGAAAAGTAAGAAAGAAGTGAATGGGCAAGCAAGGCCGGCTCTCAAGGGGGAGAGCACCGTGATCATCGGAGTCCAGTGTGGTTCTCTCCCATGTTGCACTTTCATTCCTGTGCTGCAGTAAACCAAACACAAACTCACTGCTGTCGGGTCCGTTCCGACTCCTAGTCGACCCCTCCTTGGATTTCTGAGGTAGTATCTCTATGGAAGTAGATTGCCCAGTCTTCCTTCCCAGGAGTGGCTGGTGGGTTTGAACCTCCAGCCTTCTGGTTAGCAGTCAAATGCCTTAGGCACTACACCACCTGAGCACCCTGTGCTGCAGTAGCAGGATGTAAACTTTTACTTAATTTTTAGACATATCATGTTCTGCCTCCAAAACATTTTTCCAATTCAATTCCTGCTCTTTTATGCAACTTTTTAAAAATAGACTTTAAAAAAAAAACAATTTCTTCAAAAATAGTCCTTTCCTTTCATAAAGGGAACTTGATATGTGAAAAACAAAACCAAACCCTACCAACACCAAGTCACTGTTGATCCTTTAGGACAGAGTAGAACTACCTTATAGGGTTTCCACAGCCGGGAAGCAGACTGTAGTTGGTGGGTTCAAACTGCAAACCTCTTGGTTAGTAGCCCAATGCTTTACCCGCTATGCCACCAGGCCTCCCTTGATATTTAAAGTAAGTTCCAAATACTCAAAAGCAATGCTTTTGTGCTTATGATGTCTCCACAGCAGGTAACAACAACAACATACGATGGCTTAGACCCTGAGCAGGTTGCAGGCAGGCCTTCATCTTGGGATCCATTATTTCGCTTATGAAACATCTTTCTGTAGGTCCCTCTCCTCCCCTAACACTTAGCCCCCCAGACTCTAAACTCTTCATGAATATGCAAACTCAGCCCTTCTGAAAGCTTGTGAGCCTCCTGCACTGGCTGGCTTCTCTGCTGCGGAGGGTGTGCTTGTGAGGGGCTTGTTTTACATGGCTCCTCAAGGCAGCTGCAGGTGTGACTGCATCTCAGATGTGCCTGGAAACTTTCAACCAGGTCTGTTTCAAAGAAAAATTAAAGACTCCACTCAGGTCTAAAGGTGCAAACTCCCACAGGCAGAGGCTCATCTACAAGGAAAAGAAAGAAAGAAACCACTGCCAGGGAGTCGATTTTTCACTCTTAGCGACCCTAACAGAGTAGACGGAATAGAACTGTCCCTAGGGTTTCTAAGAGTGTCCGGAAGCAGACTGTCACATCTTCACATCTTTCTCATTCAGAGCATCTGGTAGGTTTGAATAGCTTAGCAGCGAGTGCTTAACCACTGTGCCACCATGGATCCTCCTGGGACTCTCCTACCCAACTCCATATCCCCACAATGCCTCAGGCAGGACCACCCACTGCCTAAGCGCTGTGATACCTGGTGCACTTGCACGATCTCCAGGCTATGGGAGGTCCTTCGATCAAGCGTATTGTGTCTCCTTTCCTCAAAGCGCAACAACAACGGTTGTTAGAAGTTTACTGTGTGTTAGGGACCAGGTGAGAGCGTAACATGAATTAACTCTAATCCTCACAGGGCAACTCTAAGAAGCAGGTTCCATTGCTTCCACTTTACAAAGCAGGCAGCCGAGGGTCCCACAGGAGCACACAGGTGAACAGCGTGGCCAGGAAGTGAGCACAGGCCCTCTGGTTCTTGCCCCGCGCTCTTGGCCACTAAACTGTCGTCCCCCCAGGAAGTCCAGCATCCCTGCCACAGCTGGCCAGTTCTCAAACACCGTACGTTCTTGATGTCCGAGAACGCTTCTTTGGGGTGGATGCGAGTCCCTGTCCCGTGGTGCGCGCGCTGCCGCTCTCAGCAGCGCCAGGAATGTGACTCCAGAGACCGTGCCTTGCCCTCCCGGCCCAGGCGGCCCAGGACGACGCCGTTTGCAGGCCCGGCCAGGGCGGGGCGACGGCCGGAGCCCGGAGTCACCTCGTC